CGAACTATACACCCCGAAACCGCCTATGTCAGGTCATTCTCTTAATAACGATATGACACTCATGATAGAGCACAAGGGGACAGAGCATCTGGCCAACTACTTACTTAACCTTACTTTGAGACACTTTGCGCCTACCTCAAATGTCGTTTCTGTTCATAATGGCGATGACCAATGTAAGGCAAGGCACGGCAGATGCTTCATGATTGTACTAAGGTACCTAAATCAATGTAGGTTCCTGCTCGCACGTCTCGTGTTTCCCATCTCAATAGGTTTTCTTCAGACACCTGCTCGACTCCTTGGCTTCCTCTCTTCATCTCCATGAAAAAGGCTCAACGTCGTTCATCTTCCTGGACACCCGCTAAGTACCCATAAAGCTGCACTTGCAATCAACGACATGCCCGCAGATCTGACCATGGGGTTTCTCCCATAGCGTGGTCTTCTCGGCGCGACTATCCGGCCGGACTCCGGGACCCGGATCCCGAGGACACTTTTAACCTTGAAGGCGATGCGCAAGTTTCCATCAGCTCGGAAATGCCCCAGAGTTCAAACACACAGACACATCATCATCTGGGACCACCGGCGGGGGCCACGAGGATATCAGACGAACTAGATGACACAATGCATCGACCCGACAGAATGCAATACGACATCCTCTATGGCGGCATGGCCCTGTGTGGACAACTGGACCATAGGATACGACGGCGTGTCCCGAGGACCCGAAAGAAGACTTGTCGGGACGAATGCCATTCGACGTGGAACAATCAGCAATACCTAACAAAAACAGGGGACTCTCGCAGGTGTTGACGGAATCTGACGGTCGGCGTTAACGATGATCTGGGTGGCGCATATCGGTCCGGAGCGTCAATTGCCGCAAGGGACTTGTTGCAGGTCCAGTGCAAGAGCTGCAGAAAGTCTCAGCCATCGACGTGCAGGAAGACGAGCCGGCTTTGGTCGATCTGGTACGAATGCCTGCCCGAGCCGGCCAAAGCACCGCTCGACGGCTTGAGATCAACGACGCTATTACCTAGCCCACTTGAACCCCATTACGAAAGCGCCTTGGCCGAGAAACGAGTACGATGCCACATTCTGAATCGCGTGGTGGCAGACCAAGTTATCAATCTCTGTGGAGTTGAGCCGTCCAAGAGTGGATTGTGGGCGTGGAGCTGTTGTGGACAACACTTGCAGCTGACAGTGGGACGTGGGCAAACAACCGGTCGGAGCAACCCCGTATTGCGCAGGCGCGTTCACGAATTTCATGGCTGTCTACACTTCTGAAGAGCATCACGAACATTCCAAGCAAGTCCAGAGTCGGCGGCACAGCTCGCCTCAGTGCGGGAACGGCGCGGTTGACGGGCGGCAGATGTGACTTGGCAGGCGGGGGAGCCTCCGATCGAGGAACGGCTCAAGATCCGACGAAAAGAAGAAGCATCGAGGCACACGGATGATTGCTCAGAACTTGCGAGTGAGTTGAAGGCGTCACTGGCGTTCCGATTCCCAAGCAGGCGTGGTAGGGGATGGGACGCAGTGGGGACGAAGAGAGTCACGTACCCTGATCTGAAGAGGTGCGGTTTTTTTTTTACCAAGGATCTGCCCAAACAGGCCACTTGGACCGAACGCGACCCCACGCGAGCTACCTGTTTCTACATACACGCCCTCCTGGACGATGAGATGATGAGATGATGGGATCCACGGGTAGGTTCGGGATGTTGAAGCAGTAAACCATGCTGCAAGTATCACAACCAGCCTTAGCGTGTCCGTAAATCTACTCCCGTTGCTCCGCCTGAGAGAAAAAAAATTTGCCTTGATCTTATCAGATCCATCATCCAGCTTGCGGCGGCCACCGGTCGGCTTTGAGTGGGTCCACGAAGCTCCGAGGCCGGAGCTATGGCCGAATTTGGTTCTAATAAAGTTATCAGATCCGCTAAGACCAGGTCGGTGCAGCCACCTTCCTTGGAGGAGGGAAAAAAAGAAGGGGAAAAAAGCCGGTACTTTTATAGGTACCTACCTAGTAGGCGCCACGCACGCAATTGACGGCAATACATCAACTACGAGAGGGACGACCGCCACGCACCCCATTTCGATCAACCCTGAACGCTCTCTTGGTTATCAGATCTATTCTGAAGGTGGCACAGGCTGTGAAACTCAAATTTTCTTCGGAGCATTTTGTCGCCTACCCTAGGAACCCTTATGGCCCGAGGTCTCGGCGTTTCGCCGTGGACCACCTCAGTGATGGAGGGGTGAAGAGTGAGGCCCCCCCTCGACATCAACCATATCCGCGTACCTTGATCCTCCTTGTACTCTTTTGTACCTTTTTCTTCGCGTATAGACACACGCCCCCCAAGCTACCGTGGAGTTGCGGTACAAGTTGTACCCCGCCGTTGAACTTCACTCTGACCACCACCCCGTGCCCCAGAAGTTGTGATGGATGGTGTGCTGGAGACGATGTCATGGGCCGGTCCTGGAGGCTGGAGCTACCAGTCGCTTCGCTTCCTCGCTTCCCATGAAGCTCTCTTGCGTCGCGCGCCCTGCAGCCCATTGAAGAAAAAAAAAAATTTGTGAGCCATGGCAAGGCATGGCGTGGCATGGCGGCAGACACACAGAGACAAGTGAGCGGCGGGCTTCCGTTTTCCAATGGGCCAGGGGTCATCATGGCATTGGACTCTTGGAGACCAGGGATCCAATGGCGTTAACTCGGTATGTCTTCCAAAGGAGTAGGCGGTGGTGACATGAATGCCCGCGAAGCTCCGAACTCGAAGCTCTACCGTTGGCAACTTTCTCTGTGAACTTTTGCTTTCCTATCTGTCCCTTTACAGAATCTCGGAGTCAAGCATTGAGGAACCTCTTTCGCGTTTTTGATACCCTCCTCGAAAAGCCTGTTCCCATTCCCAATCCCTTCACTCTGTTACCAGCCAGTTTGGGGATAGACATCACATATCAATCGCAATCATGTCGGCACCAATCTCTCTATCGGCTGTCTCCTCCAGCGAGAGCATCATCAAGCTCCCTCATCCGTACCACGCCGAGTACGCCGTCCAACGCGCCTTCAACCACGACACCTTTGCCGGCAAGACGTCAGAGGGCGGCCTTCACTTCTACCGCCTGGCACCCCTCGCTGCTCAGGACAACAACACCAAGAAGCAGACGACTCCCCTCCCCGAGCGTCTTCACAGCGAGAACCTCTACTTCTCCGAGCCCGCGGACCTCAAGTCGAGCGAGCTCCCGGCCGACTCCAACAACAGCGCCTGGGCCCGCGCCCGCCGCTCCCCGAGCACCGTCTTCTCGTGGGACGGCAAGACCAAGCCCACGCTCGCCCAGGCCTGGCTCCTCGTCTATGTCATCTTCGTCCTCCGCCCCAACGAGGAGCTCGTCCGCCTCGAGCTCCGCGGCGCCAGCGCCGACACCCTCGGCCAGCAGCTCCGCGACGTCCTCCTCGCCATCGAGCACCCGACCCAGACAGACGCCCAGAAGCCCGCCGCCTCCGCGGAGCAGTCCACCGTCGTCCTCCTCCGCTCCGCCTTTTGGCAGGGCGCCGGATCGCCGTTCGGTCCCCGTCCCGTCTGGCTGCCGCAGGAGTCCCCCGCGGCCCTCGACAACCCTTTGTCGTCGTACCCCCTGACTCCCCTCCAGCACACCATGACGGCCGTCCCGGCCTCGGACCCGTCCAACCCGAACCTCTACCAGCAGGCGTGGCACCCGATCCGGCCGGCGAAGCCCGCGCCGGGGGCGACGGTGTACAGCCGCTGGATCCCGCACCTCAGGGAGACGTTCAGCATGGTGGCGCTCGACTACCGCAACGCGGAGCACCTTCGCTTGTTCCACGAGTGGCAGAACGACCCGCGCGTGTCGCAGGGGTGGAACGAGACGGGCACGCTCGACCAGCACCGCGAGTACCTGCGCAAGATTGACGAGGACCCGCACCAGTTTGCCATTCTCGCCGCGTGGGAGGATACGTTCTTCGCCTACTTTGAGGTCTACTGGGCCAAGGTGCGTCTACTTTTGTTTCTCTCTCTCTCTCTCTCTCTCTCTCTCTCTCTCTCTCTCTCTCTCTATCTATCTCTTTCATTCTGCAACAGCCAAGTACTAAACACAACCAATCAACAGGAGGACAAGCTAGGCGGCTACTACGACGCCCAAGACTGGGACCGCGGCCGCCACTCTCTGGTGGGCGACGTCCGCTTCCGGGGACCCCACCGCGTGACGGCGTGGTGGTCCTCGCTGATGCACTTCCTCTACCTCGACGACCCGCGCACGACCTGGGTCGTGGGCGAGCCCAAGAAGACGAACGACACGGTGCTCATGTACGACTTCATGCACGGGTTCGGGCTCGACAAGTTTGTCGACCTGCCGCACAAGCGGAGCGCCTTTGTGCGGTGCTCGCGCGAGAGGTTCTTCCAGCTCTGCCCGCTGGGGGATAATGAAAAGGTTGTGGGCGGTATGAGGATTCAGCTTGTGCCCAAGTTGTAAAGAAGACACAACCCCAATTGGGGGAAAGTTAGGCTAAGGCTATATAGTAAGGTACTTACGTATGTGTGGATTAAGGGCAGCCAGCTTGTTGAAATCTTGAACGAAATGTGTTGCGGTATGTGGGTGTGGGATAATGTACATGGAAGATATGCAGACAAAGTTAGGAAGGTGTTATTTTGGTGAAGAATTTTGTGTTTACCACTTTTTTTTTTTTTTTGGGTGCATAATCTTATCTGATCTGATAAATGTCGGTGACATTTCACTGCTTGACCTCACCTAGGTACCTACCCAATGCTCTGAATCCTGACAGCGGCACTCGAAAAAAGAATGAAATAATAGGCTCTAGACAGTAGACACTCATGAGAAACATCATTTGCATTTCAAAGTCTAGCCAATTCAGTCTAAACTAACCCAAGAGACGATACACTTTATTGCATTGCCGTCATCGTTCATCATTGTACTCCCAAGAACACCGTAAATCCCCAAAACACAAAATATCCCATTCTTGTTTTTTTCATTCATAAACAACTCGAGAGTCAAGAGTCGGGGGCCTTTCCGAGACCGAGGTGGTTCCAGCAGACTAATTGTGGTAGAACGCGCACGCAACGGTTAGCAATCAATCAATCTCTCACTGACGATGGGGTCCGAGACGGAGAAGGGGGGGGCGTGTGAAAGGCAGGAGGAGAGGAACAGAGAGGAGAGAGGAGAGAACAGGGAAGGCCGGTCGGTGCCGGTGGGATCCAGAGACCCAGGAAAACCACAACCAAAACCCCAAAAGAAAAAGGAAAAGAAGAAAAAAGTAACTCACTGGTAAAGCCGAGGTCGTCTCTAAAGTACGCGTGCATGACATCCTCACCCCACGTAGTCCCCACAACGGGCCCGCTCGCGACGGCCTTCTTCCCAATCGCCAACCCGATCATGGGCTCAACGGGGCCGAGCTCCGAAAAGGTGGGCTTGTGCTGTCCCGAAGTGAGCTTGGCCAGCATGAGCTGGTGCGCGTTGATGGCGGCGTAGTGACCCATGTGCATCGCCGTGCCGCACCGCTTGATACCCGGCCACAGGCAGATATCGCCCACGACGATGTGGTCCTCGGCGTTGGGGACGTTGCCGTCGCCCTTGAGGACCATGTTGGCGTGGATCTTGACGTAACCTTCCTCGTCCTTTGCGGCGGCGGGGAAGTAGTCTGTCGAGGGCACGCTGCGGGAGATGGCCATGACGACCTCGGAGGCGATGAGCTTGTCGCCGTTTGTGAATTCAATCTCGTGGCGGGCGCGGCCGTTGGGCAAGGGGTCGAGCTTGCGCGTCTCCTTTACGCGGTGGTTCAGGAGGACGTTGACGCCCGCCTCGCGCGTGAGCTCGAGGGCCTTGTCCTTGCACTCGTCTGACAGACCCTCGGAGGAGAGGAGCTTGTCGCGGGAGTGCACCAAGGTGACCTTGGAGTCCGGCTCGACGAGCTTGAGCTCGGCGGCCATCTCGATGCCCACGGCGCCGCCGCCAACGACGACGACGCCATCCGGAGCGTTGCGGACGGCGTTGATTTGTTCCTCTGCCTCGAGGAGGTACTGCTTGCGTGTCAGGGACTGGGGCACGACGGGGAAGACGCGGCGGAGACCGGAGGCGGCGACGAGGAAGTCGTAGGAGAAGTCCTGGGGTTGCTTGGTGGCGTGGTCGAGGACGGTGGCCGTCTTTGTGGCCGGGTCGACTTTGGAGACGGAGCCCTGGACGAAGCGGACGTTGGGGCGCTGGAGGGAGGCGATGTCCTCAAACTTGACCCAGGACTTTGCTGCGTATTTGGAGTCGGCGAAGGCGAGGGGGGAGCCAATTAGGTGGACTTTTTGGAGGGGTTCATGTTAGCGGGGTGTTTTGTGATATAGTCTGGAAGCTTCACGGGATTCTTACAGAAGCCATCACGCTCGTCGACGAGGGTGATCTCGACGGGGACGTTCTTGAGATCTGGGTGGTGCTCGTAGGGAATGTGAGCGAGACGAGGCGACTTGCCGCTGCTCAGGTCGAGCAGATTCAAGGTGGTAGAGACACCGGCGTAGGAGAGACCTCCGATGACGAAGACCTTGAAGGGGGGGATAGCACCAGGAAGAGAGCCCATCTTGTCTGCTGTTGTCGGGGACGTAAAGGAGTCGTTGGAATCTACAACTACGTCTGAACGAAACAAGGAGGAAGAAGAAGAAGAGGAGGAGGAGGAGGAGGAAGAATAAGACCGGTTGGAGCTATAGGACTCTAGCGGCGAGGCTTGATGAAGAGGGAGGCAAGTAGAGGCGAGGGAAGGGAGTGAAGATGCAGATGGAGATGCAGAAGCAGAAGCAGATGCAGTGGCAGTTGCGGACGAGAACATTCGCATGGATAGGAGCAAACACAAAGATAGAGTCCGCCGGAAGCCGAGCGGAGGGCCTGCGTCGGACCGGAGCTGTCGCTGGCGTGCTGGTACTGGTGGTGGTGGTGCTTGTACTCTGCGGGTGACGCTGCTCAGACTGGTTAAAGTTGCCCGTTGTTGGATCCCACCACCACCACCAATACCGACGAATCCTTTTCCCAACAAGGAGGACCCAATTCCAGATTCACCCCTCCAAGACTGGGCCAAGACCAAGGAGGAGTAGAAGCAGGAGGGCGGCGAAGAACACGAGGAAAGGGGCAGGTCGAGCCGAGGGCTGGCTCGGAGAATGAGACGCCTTGCAGCCGAGAGTGCTGGGCGAAGGATCCGCTTGGCCATGGCGGCGATCGCAAGGAAGGGGAACAGAAAGACAACAAAAAAAAAAAAAAAAAAAAGGAGAGGGAAGACGAGGTCAAGGGGCCGACGGACGGGACTGAGTGACACTCTCACACCAGCGGCGTCACTGTCAGTCAGTAGGGAGGGGAAACAGAAAGCGACAGCGGAGATGACGGCATTGCTGGGTGGGTTTTGGGGCCGCCGGGGAGTTTGGGAGAATTTGTAAAAGGGCATTTCCCCCCTAATGTATGTATTGTATTGCTACATTGTGACTTTCTTGGAAGGATTAAAATACTATGGGTAAAGCTGCGTGGATCTTGAAATTGCCGTCGTCGTAAACCTGCGGCTTGTTGATGTTCAAGGGTTTGGCATTTTTGCTCGGTTCGGTTGTTCGGGGATGTCTTCGTAGAACGGCGTTTTGTTGGAGACTTTTTTTTTTTTTTTTTTTTTGGTGGTGGTTAGAGGGGTGTTGTTGGGAGGGGTCTGAGAATTATCAGATGGTGGAGGAGTTAAAGTTATCAGATCCGTTCAGAGACATGCAAGCCACTCCCAGCGCCGGGTCTAAGAAGCGGACTGGCTGGGCTGGGATCTAATCAGCATTACCTAACAAACACAAGCATGAACGAGACCAACTAAATGAAGAAACCAAGGTACTCTACACGCGTTGGGGAACTGCGCCTCGTTTTCAGTGGGCAGCAGTAATGTTCGGAATTCAAGGATGGAAAAACTGTAATTCTCTTCTTCTTCTTCTTCTTCTTCTTCTTCTTCTTCTTCTTCTTCTTCTCCTTTCCATCTCGGGTTCCTTTGCTTTCCGTTGCTTCTACTGAGTAACTTGGTAATGAAGTACGGAGCAGAGATGCTGGATGGATCGGCCGTTGAAGCTAATGCCGCCAAAGGTTCTTACTGCAGCACACAGCAAAAGACACGGGTTTCGCAATTGGGTTTGCTCCTCACTGCTACACACCGGCGAGATGTATGTACCCAATGACGCCTTCTTTTGCAAATTCGAGATGAAGTGGATGAGTGGGTGTGGTGGACACTGGAATTGTTCAATGTACCCTCAATGGGAAATGGTGTGTGTGGGTGCCCAGCGTCAGAAGAGATGCGCCATTTTCCCCAGCAGCAGCCATGGCCGGGGCCGTCGCCGTGGCTTTTCTGAAATTTTTCATTCGCGACATGGGAGGATCAGGAAATTTCAAGAGGTATTCCGTAAAGCTTTCCGAATGGATAACAAGTTTGGCAGATCCGCAAAAAGAATATACTGCGTAGTATGGAGTACTCCGTAAGGTAGAGAGAGCAGGGAGCATGGAAGGAGCAAGAAAGGAACATGGATGTCTGTCTACCTGTTCTCCGTGAGTCCGTACCTACAAATGTACACTTTGTACGGAGCAGTACGTACATCCGTACCCTCGTACCTGTTCGGGTCGGCGTGTACAGCCTTACTTAATCCGGAAGGGATGGGCCGTCTCCGCCAAGACAAATTATCTGATCCGAACCCACAGTCCGGTCCTCGGCCCCACATCCACTCGCTCCATTTGCTCCAGTCGTCTTCGCTTTTCCCACTCTGCTTGTCTGATTCTTTCACCCCCTTTGACCCTCCCAAATCGCTATCAGATGCTATCGCGGATGCTCCAATGTACATCTGTACATGCGGCCTCGCCCACAAACACTACCTACACTACACACTGCACACCTCCACTGTCCACTCAGGGATGCCGCCGGTACCCTTCACGTGCCATAGCACATTGCACATCCCGCTACAACCGTCGACTCCCGCAGTAGCGTGACCGTCTACCGTGGCTGCTGCGGTCACTGGTCTCTCGCCGCTTAACGATCCCCGAGCCTCGAGGACCACCTATGGAATGTCGCAAGAAAGCAGTGCTGTATACCAGTCCGCAGGGGGGGTCACAGTCGGCGTTGGGCGTCGGTCGCCGTTCTCCCCCCTCGTTACGGCATGCCCCCCTCGTGGCCCTCTCAGCTCCCTAACTCGGCTACTCCACGGCAGGGTACTTTGCATTACCACCCACCTACGGCTATGGAGTACGGATACCCTCCCTAAAGTCCCGTCCTTGCTGCTTCCATTGCTAGCCTGAACAAGGTACTTGAGCAAGTCACAATTGCCCCCAGCGGAGACTCGAGTCGCTTCTGTGAAATGTGCTGTCATCAAAGCCTGTGAAGCCAAGCAACTGCTCGCTACCGTTGGCTGGCCTTGGGAATGACTCCCCTAATTTACCCGCTAATGCTGCGGATGCCAATGAACACACCTGTGGACAAGAAAAAAAAATCCCCCCTCCACTTCTGGTTCTGGTTCTGGTTCTGGTTCTGGCATGGTGCAAGAAACTGCAAGGTTGCCCTGTACGGTTAGGACCTCGCTCGACGCTTTCGCTGAGCTCTTCCTTGCCACCAGCTGCACGCCAAGTCTCTGTGTTTCTGGGGGCTGGCGATGAGAGAGCTCCTTTCTTAACCATCTGCTTCAATTGCGAAAAGCGGTCAAACTCTCCCTGATACCTGTTCGTCAGTTCAAGGTCGGATCACCATGCCTGACCAAGACTCACGATCGGCTGCGGCCGAGAAGGCTGATACTGCGCTCTCGACATCACCAGAGCAACAACAAGTACAGACAACATCAACAGAGACTACCGAAGTCGCGAAACCAAAGGGAAAGGTGAGTGTTGCACGTCCAGCCTGGGCTGAATCTGAATCACGTTTTCAGGATTTTTTTTCTTCTTGGCCTCTCTCCTTTCCCTTCCTTGAGTACGTGACGTTTGCGAAGAGAAACTAACCATCTTCTCCCAGCGCTTCGAAACTGTCTTCAGCTTTTTCAAGCTGCTTTTCTATGCCAACCCAACATGGCTCGATTACACGCTGGTCTGCGTGGGCACCATTGCCGCCATCGGCTCCGGTGTCCCGTTCCCTCTGATGGGTATTCTCTTCGGACAGCTGATTGACGACATGAACGGCGCTACCTGCGCCGACGGAATCGGAGATGTAGGCGCCTACCAGGACGCCGTCAACGACAAAGTCATCAAGCTCGTCTGGATCACCTGCGTCGCCTTCTGCCTCATCTACACGCACACCACCTGCTGGGGAATCATCAGCCAGAGACTCGCCTCCCGCCTCCGCGAGAAGTACTTCCAGAGTTTGCTGAGACAGGATGTCGGCTTCTTCGAGAGCAGACAGGCCGGTGAGGTCTCGTCCCGCCTCAACTCCGATATCCAAACCATTCAGTCCGGAACGTCCGAGAAAGTCAGTCACTTCATCGGCACAATCTCCTTCTTCGTCACGGCGTACGTTATCGGCTTCATCAAGTACGCGCCCCTGGCTGGCATGCTAGTTTCGCTCATTCCCGCCTACTTACTCGCGTCCATGATTTGCGGAAGCTACATCCAGAAATGGAGCGGAGCCATGTCGGAGGGTATGGCCAAGGCCTCGTCCATCGCTTCAGAGGCGCTGTCTCACGTCGCCGTCGTCCAGGCGTTTGGCGCCGGACCTCGCCTCGAGAACAAGTTCGCCGGCCATGTCATGGTCGCTCAGAAGGAGGGTATCAAGAAGGCTATTGCTGCTGCCTCCAACGCCGGACTCTTGTACTTCATCGCCTACGCTGCGAACGCCCTCGCCTACTGGCAAGGTAGCAAGGCCATCTCAAGATCAGTTGCTGGAACTGGCGACGGTACTTCAGTCGGTGACATTTACACCGTTGTGTTCCTCATTGTCGACGGTACGTACTTCATTTCTGTACTATTTGGCCACGTTTGCTTACTCTACGACTAGCCTGTATCATGCTCGGTACCATTGCACCTCTGCTGCCCCTTTTCGGATCAGCAGCCGCTGCCTTTGTCAAGCTCCGGGAGGACATCGACAAGCACTCCACTATTGATTCCGTTACCGAGGATGGTGACAGGCTGCCCACCAATGTCCACGGCGAGGTTGAACTTCGTGGAGTTACCTTCTCCTACCCCTCGCGCCCCGACACGGACGTGCTCAAGAATATCTCGCTCGTCTGCCCTGGTGGGAAGTACACCGCCATCGTCGGTCTTTCCGGCAGCGGAAAGTCGACTATTGCCGGCCTTGCCACGAGAATCTACGACCCCAAGGAGGGCACAGTCCTCATCGACGGCCAGGATATCCGCAATCTCAACGTCAGAAACGTCCGCAGTTACATCAGTCTCGTTCAGCAGGAGCCTTCTCTGCTCGACCGCTCCGTCATCGAAAACATTGCTCTGGGTCTCGTCAACTCGCCCAAGGAGGAGCACCAGAGACTCAAGGAGACGCTCTACGGACCCCAGCTCGCCCAGCTTGCCGAAGACCTTATGGCTGGGGAGGACCTCAACACCGCCGCCCAGAAGTACGGACCCGAAGTTGTCGAGATTGTCAAGCTCGTT